TTTGTCCTCTCAAACCAGGGGTTGGAACTGCAACATCGATGCGATATGCATGTCAACCGTGGATGGATCTCGCGCAAAAAAACTACCACAGTCTGACTGGTGGTCCCAAACAAACAAACCAGCGAAAACAGATCAATTAAACGAAAGTGATCATGACAAACCAATAAGCTAGAAAAGGGATTATAATCACATGCTTGACACCGCGAAACAGTGCAGAATTACAGATGTACAGTATGTGACCAGTCAATGCCAGTCATGCGAATGCCACAATGCAGAACATGTATGAACATGTTTCAAAGGTAAACCTCATAATCCTTTCCCCCTGATAACAGACATACACACACAGAACACCTTCCCTTTCAGTGAGGTTCATCACTAGTGAACTGCGAAGAGGTTGTCTAAACCCCACATGGGAACCTGGTCAAACCCCGTCTCGTTCGAATTTCTTGCCTTGGCTACAGGTTTCTTGGCTAACTGTACCTGGCAAATGTGAGATCGGAAACTAAATGGCAACCCAAAATTTGGGTCATGCCGATAAGGATGTTCCTCAAATATAACCGGTGATTTTGATCTAGTAATTCTAGTATGGTCTAGTATATCTACATAGCACTGAACCAGTTAACCAGTTCTCCTTGGTGAAAATATTATTTTCTGGAAACTAAACATCTCAATCCGGAATACATCTACCCTCCGGGAATCAAACGTGGCAGTGAGAAATACCCTGTAAATGGTGTGTTTAACTTTAATGGGAAAACCATGTATATATATATATATTGTTATATATATATATATCATATATTATATATTATATGATATATAAATATAATTTAATATATATATAAGTATAATTTAATATATATATATATATATAGTATTATATATACATATATTTATATTATATATATAATATGTATATAAATATATTAAATTAAATATTATATTATATCATATTAAAACATACTATATATATATTATACATATTCTATTAATACATATATATATATATATATATGTGTGTATATATATATATATTGTATATCTATAAATCTATCAAAGATTGATTTTCCAGCTCTATGTTTGGCCCAGGGCAAAAACATCTCGTGGATACTCAGTTGGGAGCTATACCACTCATGTGGTAAAGCCAGTGTCATAAACCATGCCCAGGTTCACGAAAAATGGCTGGGATTGATACCGTAGGTTTATTGTTGGCTTTCCCACATTTTATCAATATATGACGTGGACTGGCACTGGGACGTGGTGAATTTTCAACTGCCATATCTGACCATTAGGGTAGCTGATACCATATTCCAACAACGAACGCGGAAGATCGCAACAGGATCTGAAAGGTTCTCACCTGGGGTAGAAAAACAACAACTCAGTCTTCACCATCCATTTTTATTGGGCTTTTCACTGAAACCCACGCATTCATTTCAGACCCAACAAAAATATCCTGTCACCTCTTTCCTCCAGGGCCCAGTTTGCGTTTTTTTCCCCCCTCAATGCCGCATCAGTTCCCTCGCTATTTGCAGCATGTTAAACCTCGAAGCTGCCATTTCGACAGTATTTGCAACATTTTGGAACCACCTCTACCGTAATTGCAGCATTTTGGAGCTAGAAACTCATATTTCCGCCGGAATCGGAATTTTTTGGAGCTAGCAGCAATCTGGGGTTGGTTCAGCTAGAATTGTTGTTGGGGCTGCTGTGGTGTGTGCTTGGGGTTGGTTAAAGGTATCGGTATCGTGGGTTGGCTTAGTTATTCCAGGTCGGTTTAAAGATGGTTTATAAATGGTGTTTGTGTAGCGCTTGCTCGGCGTGAATTCCGTGTTGGTGCGATATGTTGTTTCGGGTTAGTTTGCGGTTTGGCTAGGAGTCCGCTTAGTTTTAGCGTTGGTTCAACTAGCATGGTGTTGGGGTTGCTGTAGGATTTGTTTCGGCTTGGGTGAAGGTATTTTGCAATATTTCTTATCTTTTAAGATATGTTCAGGGTTGGTTTATGTTTGGTGTAAAGTTTTGTTTAGATTTGGTTTAGGGTTGTGTTCCTAGGCCGCTTTGAAATTGTAGTTAAAATATATTTAGGGTTTGGTTTGGGTGGGCTTAGTGTTAGCTTAAGGTTTACTCTGGATTTATTGAATGTTGGCGTAATGCTCATTTAACATTTTTTCAGGTGTTATTTCTGGCATGCTTAGTGTTGGTTAAGGTGTGTTTAAGTTTTCTTTCGGTTTGGTTTCGGGTTGCTTCAGGGTTGGGTCAGTGGTTTATTGCTGGTTGCGCTGGTTGGCTTAAGGTTGGTTCAAAGTTTTTTCTAAAATCGGTCCAGGGTTTGATTCGTAATTTATCGAAAATTCATTTGTCTTTTAGCTTTTGATTTGGGTTTGTTTTGGGTTGGGTTAACCCTTTATTTGGCATTCTTTTCAGGGTTTATTTGAGGTTGGCTGAAAATTTAAACTTGGCTTGGGGTTTGACTTTACGGTGTGCGTGCAGTTTCCTTCGTGAGGGTTTTAGGATTATTTTTTAAAACTATAGTTTGCTTTAAGGTGTTCTTTGGGGTTGGATTGAGGGATTCTTTATAATCGGTTTAAGGTTGGTTTAGGGTCGATTTGGGGTTGGTTTAAGGTTTGATTGGAGCTGGTTTGGGGACTATGGAATTTTGGTTTAAAATTTTATTGAATGTTGTTCGGAAATTTATTTGAAGTTGTTGAGGGTTTTGTTAAAGTTGGCTTAGTGGCTAATTCAAGTTGGTTTAGGGTCGATGTAGTGTCGGTGCACTTAATGTTTTAAATTGGTTTGCAGTTTACGGTTTACGGTTTGGTTTAGAATTGGTTTGGGGCTGGTTAGAGATCTATTTAGGGTTGATTTGTGGTTTATTGAGGATTGGTTCAAGGTTTAATGATAATTTATTTGAGGGTGGTTTCAGGTTGTATTTCAAAGGTGCTTTACTAAGGGTCAGTTTAACTTTCTTTTTCAGGTTGGTTAGGGTTTTTCTTAAGGGTTGGTTCAACATTTGTTTGTGGTTGATTTAAAATGCTGTTTTTATTTCGAATTTTCTTTAGGGTTGGTCAAAGATTGGTTTAAAGCTTTATTTACTGTTTAGTGCCAGTTAGTTTACAGTTTAAAGTTCGTTTAGGGTTTGGATAAGTAACGTTGAATTTGGGTCGCAGTTGGTTTAGAATTTTATTTAGGGTTGCTTCAGGGTTGCTTTGTTTTATTGAAAGTGGGTTTATAGTTTCTCCGCAGGGTTGGCTCGAAGGTTTATCTACGATTGGCTCAAAACTTTACTTATGGTGGCTGGCTGGCCTGCTTGCTTACTGGTTGGCTGGCTGGCTCGCTTGCTTACTTCCTTGCTTGCTTCCTCAATTGCTTGCTTGCTGCCTTCCCGGCTTGCTTGCCTGCATGCAAAGTGGTTGCTTGCTCTGGCTTACCTGCATGGCTGGCTTGCTTGCTTGCTAGCTGGCCTTTTGCCCCCTTGCTTGCTGGCTGGTTGCCCCCTTGCTTGCTGGTTTGCATGCTTGCATGCTTGCTTGCTGGTTGGCTGGCTTGGCTGGCTTGGCTGGCTTGCGTGCCTGCCTGCTTGCTTGCTTGCTTGCTGCCTTGCTCGGTTGCTCAGTTGCTTGCTTGCTTGCTTGCTTGCTTCCTTGCCTGGCTTGCTTGCTTGCTGGCTTGCTTGGCTTGCTTGCTTGCTTGCTTGGCCTGCCTGCCTGGCTGCCTGGCTTGCTTGCTTGCTTGCCTGCTGGCTTGCTTGCTTTGCTTGCTTGCTTGCTTGCTTGCTTTGGCTTGCCTTGCTTTCTTGCTTTGCCGGGGGGTTCTTGCTTTGACTTGCTTTGGCTTGCTCTTGCTTGCTTGCTGGCTTGCTTGGCTTGCTTGCTTGCTTGCTTGGCCTGCCTGCCTGGCTGCCTGGCTTGCTTGCTTGCTTGCCTGCTGGCTTTATTGTGAAAGGATGATCGGGGAAAAATATTCCCCGGGGAAGGGGAAAAAGTACCAGGAAAAATAGTGTGCCTTTCCTCCAGGGTGCTTGTCCCAGATCCAAGGATTGAGCCGTGGATATCGTCCCCGAGAAATTCGGTAGTATAAGTCCCAACAGGGTATAACTGCATAACTTTCACGGCTCACTTACGTATTCATTAAATCCCATGATTATCCCTTTAAATCCCATGAAACGCATTAAACCACAGTAGAATCCCATTAAAATCGCAGTAAAATCCCAAGAAATCCCTATAAACCCCCTTTAAGCTCCTATAAAATCCTGCTAAATCCGCATGATTATGCCCAGAAATCCAATACAGTATATGAAGCACCCGAAATAGAAAAATAAACTCTGCTGCCCGCCCAGCGCCCCGCGGGTCACCAGGAAAGAATCTCCCTGAGGAACGATTTCCACCTTGCGAAGGGAGCGGAAACCCAGAGATACCTTGGAAACAAAGCTTGGTTTATCCATGTTTTTTCTGGGATTTAATGGTGATTCAAGGGGATTTAAATGGGTTTGATTGTGATTTGATGGGATTTAACTGGGATTTAATGGTATTTCATCGGATTTAACGGTGATTTCATTGGATTTAAGCGGATGTCATGGGAACGTGATGGAATGTAAATGACACTTACAGTAATGGGAATGTACTGGGAGTATAGTGGGAATATCACCAATTGATCTATGTTGTTAGACTTGGAAACTTATTGGACAATCCCTAATTGTCAGCCGTGGTGGAGAAACCAAGCTCTCAAAGATGCTTTTTGGGTCCCGATCTATTTCCCACAAAAACAAATTGATCCTACCGACCCTGCAACATCGGAGCGGCACCGCAATGAGTTTGATACCCGCAAACGATGGGCTGCCAGGAGATTTGATATCCCCAGATGATCCAAAAATTTCGCCGGTCAGGAGACTCATCTCTGATCAGGTAGAACGTGAGAAAAATACCCTTTGGCAAACCAGCACAACTATGAAAAATCCCCTAAAGAAATGGTAAAAGGGGGATACCGGGACATCCCAGCATTCATTGTGGGTTGTTATGTTTTTTTTCTGTTGATATGTTGATGTTCAATGTTTCATCTTTACCTTTAATGTTGTGTTTTTTGCGATGGGGATTTTGGGGCAAGTTTGCCCCGAACTTTCACTGTTGATGTTTGGTTTGAATGAGGGAGATAATTGTTGTGGCTGATAGGGTTTTCAGTTTTCAGTGACTTTTGTTTGCAGACTAGTTCACAATTCATAATATGTTTTTTTAAAGATATTATGAACTAATCATAATTAATCAATGTATGTTTTCCATTGTCCTATTCAATCCCACCCGTCTTCAATCAGTCGTATTTGGGTTAAGCAAGATTTTCCTGTATCATTCATTGCATCCATTGCTATTGATAAAAGAAGTAGATTAATAATCAAAGCGTTGCATCTACCATCATGGTTGAATTCTTTACCTCAATCGACGATGACCTTTTTCTCCGTGAGGTTCCATACATTTCTTATAATGCCAAAACCAACAAACGCAAAACATATCATACCATATATATATATATACTCCTTCCGCGTTTTCTTTTGAAATCGTCAATTACTTTCTTCCAAAATTTGTCTCCTTCCTCATCATCAGGTGAAGGCACAGGGATGACATTTGACAAAGTCTCTAATCTCTTCATTTTTTCTATATGTTTTCTTCCCATTCATCATCATCACTCCGACTGTCAAAATTAGCAGTCACTCCTACATTTTAAATTTAAATCCTCAAGTTTCATATTGTTTTTTCTCTTATAATATATACAGGGAAACGACAATGTCACGCCTAAGTCATGCCTAGCGTGTTTTGAATGGCATTTACCATTGTAAACGCTGTATCCAAGAAGTCATGCCTAAGTCATGCCTACATGCTTTTCTGCATGGAACGCTGTCCTCAATAAAAGTGTAAACATGCATTTCAGACATTAAAAAAACATAAAACACAATGGAACGCGACTGGTGAAAATATTGCTTTTCTACTCTCTTATAATGTCATTCTCGTGTGCAACCTGCATGTCAACGCTGGGATTCTGCATCATCATTTTGTACTACAAAGCTTGCACAAAGTACTTCCCAGTACTACTTTGTACTACAAAGCTTGCACAAAGCACTTCCCAGCACTACTTTGTACTACAAAGCTTGCACAAAGGACGTTTCCAGTACTACTTTGTACTACAAGCTTGCTCAAAGCACTTCCCAGTACTACTTTGTACTACAAAGTTTGCACAAAGTCCTTCCCAGTACTACTTTGTACTACAAAGCTTGCACAGAGCACGTTCCAGTACTACTTTGTACTACAAAGCTTGCACAAAGTCCTTCCCAGTACTATTTTGCACTACAACGCTTGCACAAAGCACGTTCCAGTACTACTTTGCACTACAAAGCTTGCACAAAGGACTTCCCAGTACTACTTTGTAATACAAAGCTTGCACAAAGCACTTCCCAGTACTACTTTGTACTACACAGCTTGCACACGGACTTCCCAGTACTACTTCGCGCTACAAAGCTTGCACAAAGCACTTCCCAGCACTACTTTGTACTACAAAGCTTGCACAAAGCACTTCCCAGTACTACTTTGTACTACAAAGCTTGCACAAAGCACTTCCCAGTACTACTTTGTACTACAAAATTTGCACAAACTACTTCCAAGTACTACTTTGTACTACAAAGCTTGCACAAAGCACTTCCCAGTACTACTTTGTACTACACAGCTTGCACAAAGCACTTCCCAGTACTACTTTGTACTACAAAGCTTGCACAAAGTACTTCCCAGTACTACTTTGTACTACAAAGCTTGCACAAAGCACTTCCCAGTACTACTTTGTACTACAAAGCTTGCACAAAGTCCTTCCCAGTGCTACTTTGTACTACAAAGTTTGCACAAACTGCTTCCCAGCACTACTTTGTACAACAAAGCTTGCACAAAGCACGTTCCAGTACTACTTTGTACTACACAGCTTGCACAAAGGACTTCCTTAGTACTACTTTGTGCTACAAAGCTTGCGCAAAGCACTTCCCAGCACTACTTTGTACTACAAAGTTCGCACAAACTACTTCCCAGTACTACTTTGTACTACAAAGCTTGCACAGAGCACGTTCCATTACTACTTTGTACTACAAAGCTTGCACAAAGTCCTTCCCAGTACTATTTTGTACTACAAAGCTTGCACAAAGCACTTCCCAGTACTACTTTGTACTACAAAATTTGCACAAACTACTTCCAAGTACTACTTTGTACTACAAAGCTTGCACAAAGACCTTCCCAGTACTACTTTGTACTACAAAGCTTGCACAAAGGACTTCCCAGTACTACTTTGTACTACAAAGCTTGCGCAAAGCACTTCCCAGTACTACTTTGTACTACAAAGCTTGCACAAAGGACTTCCCATTACTACATTGTACTACAAAGCTTGCGCAAAGCACTTCCCAGCACTACTTTGTACTACAAAGCTTGCACAAAGACCTTCCAAGTACTACTTTGTACTACAAGTTTGCTCAAAGCACTTCCCAGTACTACTTTGTACTACAAAGTTTGCACAAAGTCCTTCCCAGTACTACTTTGTACTACAAAGCTTGCACAAAGCACTTCCCAGTACTACTTTGTACTACAAAGCTTGCACAAAGCACTTCCCAGTACTACTTTGTACTACAAAGTTTGCACAAACTACTTCCCAGCACTACTTTGTACTACAAAGCTTGCACAAACACTATCCCCAGTACTTACTATTTTTTTTTGTTTGTTTGTATCTTTCTACTCGTGTGTTCCTAGCTTTGCACATTGGTTCAACTACTTTCCCAGCTACTAACTCTTTCACTCTCTTGTGCCCTACAAACTGACATGACAACCTGCTTGGAAACCTTCGAAAAGGAGAGGTTTTGCAGCTTCCCCCATAGACACGGCGACGCCACAGGAAAACCAGAGACTGGAGACGAGACACGTGGGCGCAGCAAAACGAGCATTTCGTGCGAGACTTCCTCCAATTTTGACACTTTCGACACGTTATCAAACAGGTTGGCATGTGACAAAGTGCCACGCCTGCCACGCAAAACGACATGACAACCTGCTTGGAAACCTTCGAAAAGGAGAGGTTTTGCAGCTTCCCCCATAGACACGGAATTAACGCCGCGACGACGACGCGACGCCGACCCGACGACGCGACGCCGACCCCAGACCCCCAGACTATAAACGGGAACATTTCGCTACGCATTCGGGAAAAACAAGATAATCTGGGATGAACATCCAAAATCATCAAATCACCAGCTCAACGCCATCTTACCTATAACTAATCAACATACCTACAACCTGGAATTCTGCATGCTAATAGTGATCAGCTACGTGATCTCATAAGAAGACGGGTTACATATCCAAACTCCAGAGTTCCTATGCGTTCTTGCTAAAGGCACGACTTTTGCGAAACACACTTCCCCAAGGCACAACGATTTTTTCCTAAAACAGGTACGACTTTGTCAGATGCCTGTAGTCATCTTTTATTTGAGTAATTTTGTTTCTGGTTCAGTTTTCATGTTCTGTCTCACGTGATATCTGGTTCAATGCTAATGGACATTTGAAAGTAAAGGTTTCCCAATTCCAAATTGTAAAACATATCCTTTGCAACATCTTTCAACCTCAAAAAACATATCTCTATAAGGTTAATTCAAGACATCTTGGATGTTGTTGTGTGTGTCTGATCCATAGTCTATTGGTATAACATCAACTTCAAACATAGCACATACGTGACTTCCACCCCAACGATGAAATCCACTTGGTCCTTCTGCTTCACACTCAGCCAAAATGCTGATGTTAGTTTCCAATAGTTTCCATATCAGGTTGGATATACCTTATATTTTGAATTCGCTTGATTATGTTTTAAGTTTTAGTATGATTTCTAAAACGTCACTCATACTTGACAATTTTGGTTTCAAATTTCATAAAATGATGTTTCCAAAATACACTACCATCATAGTTAGCATAACAGTGAACATTTCCATACACTGGCTTCTATTTAGTTTGGATTTGTTTGAGTGTTTTGTTGTGTTTTAATTTTAAATCGCTTGGTACGCCCAACAGATACGATGAAACATTCAACGTAGCATCACTTGGTAAATCTGTCAACCTTAAACTTCCTGCCATCTCCTCTTTCTATATATAGCAATCTTTTCTTTAAGTAGTTTTGGGCTTTCATTCAGTTTTCGGGTTCAGGCTGGTTTTTATTTTCCCTTTCCTCCTCTTGCAGTTCCCTCATAGCCATATCAATTTCATCCATTTGTCCATTGGCAATGTTTCTTAACCTCTCAACATCCTTCACTTTGTGCCTTTCATCAGGTGGGAGGTTTTGAGATGTTCCTTCAACTTGGTTAGGTCAAAGTATGTGTATTCCTCTCGGTCTTCCTCTGCCAGAACGTTCCTCTCCGTTGCTTTTCCATCTCCACAAGTGTGTTTTCCATACGTTGGAATTTCATTTGTTTCTTGGAACACTTCCCGCAAACAAACACGAAGGTTTTGAACAAAGAACCCAGATCTCATCACTGTTCAAATTGATACAATCACTCATTACACGGCATCCACACTCAAATTTAGTCATCGTATTCATTCTTACTATATGTATATAGGTATTTTTTTGTTATATAGGTATAGTTTTAAAGTTGATAATTTAAGCATCTAGTGTGTTATAATATATGCAAGGAAACTACCAAAACAATGACATCATTAGCAATGGCTATTTCAATCTTGAAGCAGGTTTCGGTTCAATCAATGAGACCCTCAAGAACGCGAAGGAACAAAACCCGACCATCAACAGGGTGGATGTGGAACACTTTAGGAGCAAACAATTACCCAACAATCGATTTGAAAATACAGGGGTTCAAACTCCTACACTGCACCCGTCGCAAAGTTGGAGTATCAGATTGACATAAAAGATATGAAACCCTAGTCAAAGTTCCAGAGGTGAAAGTTCCCGTCAAGAACCTTTAGCCCAGATAGGGTTGGTTGTCAGAAACATTGTCAGCAAGTTGGCTAACATCGTCCGTGTGAAGGAAAAATGGAGCAAACGCTGCATCAGCCTTAAAAAAAAAATGATGTCTGTTTTTAGCGATAATGAGTGTGCTTTCCACTCAGGGGTCCACAAGTTCTTTGAGGATGAAGGCATCACTCAAGTCATCACTTTTACTCGCACCAATGTGGCAGAGCTTTTCATCAGGACGATGAAGAGTATGAAAGGGTGAGGTTCAATAGGGGCAGTTGGACTGCTATGTTGTCAAGAACACACTCTACAGTTTACATCATTTTACACCATTTTTTGAACACACTGCTATGTTGCTCGAAAAAATATTTTCAGCATAGTGTCGCGCTTGCGCTTTGCGGAATTGCAGCTGGAGGTGACAAACCGCATTGGCATGGCTGCGCACAGGAAAGCGTTGGCGATTCTGCTGCTCTCCTGCTGTGTGGGACTGCGGCTGGAGGTTGCAAACAATCATTGTAATTAACAGCTGCGCGAAACATAATTTTTAAGCATAGGGCCACGTTTGCCCTGTGCAGAACTGCAGCTGGAGGTTGCACAACGCATTGCGCTGGCTGCGCGAAGAGAAGACTTGGGTTGCAGAAGCCACAGAAGAGGTAGCTAGTTCAGAGAAGAAGTAGCTGGGAGAAGAGGTGCCTCAGCAAACAAGTAGCTTAATGTTGTATCCTGATTAGTGTCTAGGTTCGCTATTGTGGCCAACATATCCAACATTTTCCGAATTATTCAGGGCCCCAGCAATGTTTGGAAGGTTCACTATAGTGGCAAGAATTCTTGAGAGACCAAGTGTTTCGTCCACAAAAATGTTTGTGTAAACAAATCTGAACATGTTTTCTGTTTTTTTTGGCTCGTCTCCCTGTCCCAAAAGAATCAGACCGCTTATTAAAACCTTATTAAAGAAAAAAGCAACAAATTTCCAAGGCACTGGGCCATGGGAGGGCTCAGTTCACTCTAGTAGGTTTGTTCTCAGGGTTCACAATTGCAGCAAGCTTTTCCAGAGCTGATCCTGGAGCCAAGAGAAGAAATAAAAGCCTTTCACAAAAGCAATTGAAAAAGTCAAAGTTCAAGCCTTTCCCAAATGAATCAGGCCGCTTATTAAACTCTTATTAAAGAACAGTTTTTCCACAAATTTCCAAGGCACTATCCATCCGTCCATCCGCCCGTTCATCCATCCATCCATCCATCCATCCATCCATCCATCCATCCATCCCGCCATTCCTTCGTTCGTTCGTTCCTTCATTCACTGATTCATTGATTCATTGAACCATTGGTTCATTGAACCATTGGTTCATTGATTCACTGATTCATCCGTTCGTTGATTCATTGGTTCGTTGATTCGCTGATTCCTTGATTCCTTGATTCACTGATTCAGTGGTTCAGGTCTGCATTGATTCATTCGTACACGGATTCGTTGATTCATTGGTTCATTGATATAGTGTTCATGGATTCATTGATTTGTCTGGTTCATTGATTCGTTGATTCATGGATTCATTGATTCAGTGCTTCGATGCTTCATTGATTCACTGATCCATGGGTTCATTGGTTCATTCAGTCAGTTGTGCATGGATTTGTTCGTGTCATTTCACTGGCATCTCGACCACCATTTGAGCTACCTCCAAAACTCTATTTGTTCCTTCGTTACGAAATGTCGCCTTCGTTTTACAAGGGTTTGGACCAAACCTTCACAAAAATACATGCGGTATCGCGCAATCCTTTAGAGCTAGTGGCAGCAGCAATGGCAAAAGTTGTAAAAACAACAGTGCCAGGATGTACCAGGATGTGCCAGGATTAGTACTGTGACTTGTAGAAGCACCTCACAACTTCAACACTTCATTGCTTTTGCATCTCAAAAACTTTCCTGCAGGCCATTGATTTCTTGTAGCCAGTTTTATTTTTCGAAACTTCCGCCCCGGCACGGCCGGGCCCTATCTGGTACAGTATCTATTTATATGCATGTGTGATCATGTGTGTGGGAGTATGAACGGATGTGCATTATGATATACTCCAAGGGGTTGGAGTGACCGCCATAAACAACCATTGAATTCATCAATCCAAAGGTCCAGGTTTGAAGACCGCTTGAAGCTGTCATTGCGTTCATGGCTTTGGTTGCAATACTCGCCAGCGGATCGGATTTTGAGGACAGTTGGAACATGTCACACATTGTCATGTGTTTCAAATCTGTTGAAATGCTCACGAAAGACAAGTTTTTATGACTGACTCTTGGGCAATATTATCCACGAGGACCCCTTCAAGTAGAGTTCATCCGCGCTGACTTCACAACCTCGGGATGGGCGAAGTGAGAGACTGGCGATGGCACAATGAAGCAAACTGGAGGAATACCCCCAAACCTGGTAGAAACATGTAGCAAAATCGTGTTTCCCAAGGTCGGTGACATTGTCCTTAAGGATTGGAGCGTTTCTTCTGATGATGAGGAACCAGGTTGGTCAGGGGAATGCATCAGCGAAAGCGCGGTTTATGTTCGACCAAGCCTTCACTTTTTTTCTTGCTCTGCTTCCAGGTGCTCCCCCCGACCCCCTCTTCGAGGGTGTAGCAGGTAGCCAGATGCATGCTTCCTTTGGAGCACAGCAAAAGGCTAAGTCTGACGTAAAGAACACAGCAATTAGGCAATTAGCTAATGGGCAGAAAATATATGCGGACTAGAACGTTCAGAAACTGGAGTTTTTTTATTTTCTGTTCTTCGAACCAAAATCCTTAGGAAGGCTCATTCCAATTCCATGGTCTCTATAGTTTTTTTGGTTGCAATCCGGCATGAAAATGTCGAGCACATCCTCTGCAAATTCCCGGACACTTCTTCTTCTGTACTCATAGCCAGAGGTCTCGAGAAACTCGACCTCTCCCTTTTGGGAGCGCCCGAGGCTTCCATCTGCTTTGGTGACAACGACAAGCTCGGCATCCATCTCTGCAGCTCGACGTGTGTTCTCCACCCACCTCAAATACCAATGTGCATGTTTGGGTTTACTGTGACAGAAAGGACGTGATCCGGCAATATGTCCATGAAAAAGCTTCTTTGCGTGCTTCACATTTAAAAGTTATATTAGTTATATAACTTGAAAAGAGGCAATGAGTGAGGTAAAGCAAAAAAAAACAGTCTCCTTTCCAAGCAACATCTGATACCAGCGGCAACCCCACCGTTCAGGTTGTCCATACAGCATGTGACAGAAGCACGGTGTCACACCCCAAATGGCGTGACAGCACTGTGGGGAATCATTTTTCACGTGGACACCATAGCCTGGTGCGTCCTCGTCAGGCAAGAACACACAACTGGTTTTCCAACCACCTGCCCCCTGTATCAATTTGTTCCAAGCTCTGCCATGTGCGCCTGGGAAACTCACAATCACCCTGTCATATTTTTCGAAGAACGGAGTGCCAAGGAATCTGACCCTGGCACCGTCTACTTCTTTGCACAAGCTGTCAATAGCCTCAGGCGACCATGAAAGACTTCGTCGTGTTCGATCTTCTGAAATTGGGATGATGTACATTTTAGCGACTGATTGATTTGCTTGGGCCACATGCTATCTGCAATCAATCATTGGCGCAGGCTTTTCGTGAGCAACTTCAAACTCACAAAACTCATCCTGATGGAACATAGCTGGCCGAAAAAGGGCACCAACACCCCAATGAGCGCCCGACAAAATCGAACATGAGAAAGTTGGCGATGAAGTCGTTGCAAGCGTGAGTCGCAGAGGCAGGCATGTAACCACAAACAAAAACCACAACAGTAACACCAATTCTCCCCTGACATAAACCAAACATCAACAGTGAAATTTCGGGGCAACCTTGTCCCCAAATCCCATCAAAAGAAACATATCAAAGGTAAAAATGAAACAGAACATCCACACAGTATATAACCATAACAACCAACAATGACTTTTACAATTTGTTTCCCCTGTGAATGGAGATTGTTTATGGGAACATCGTCTATAATTTGGAATTTTCCATAGCTACATTAGTTTACTGGAGGGTAGATAATGTTTAAATCACTAAATGCATTTGGTGATGTCCAACACTACTTGGCTCTTTTTCACACAAGGTGGAGCCCCCGCGCGTTATCAGTTTATAACTTACAATAGACCCCTTCCAACTATATCTAACTGTAGTTACAATCACCATAAGCTCCACAAAAAACCTAGTTGTAAACCAACTTGGCTAAGTACCCTCTGGTAAACTAACATAACTATGGAAAATCACCATTCTTAATGGGTAAACCCAGTATAAATGGTCATTATCAATAGCTATGTTAAATTACCAGAGGGTAAATCCATGGAATCACCCTGTTTTTTTCGGAAAATACCTAACCGAACGAATCATACGAACCACCAATCGGTGCACGCGACGATTTCTCGCCCACCTTGCTGGGCCACTTTCGCAAGAACTCGACTGGATCGTTTTCGTTGGCCTGTTCTGACGGGAGGGAGTTTAGTCAAAAAAAAAGGCTCAAATGATTATACTATATATAATGATATGGCAGTGTGTCAAAACCTTGTACCCCTGGTGAACATCAAAATAGCTAGTAAATGGATGTTCATCCCCCTAAAAATGGTATGTATAGGTATTGATCCATAGCCATATATAATGCTACAATACTATTACAGAATGGGAGATGATATTAATAACTCCTCATAGATATGATGCGAATAGTGGATGTATAGTTGGGATAAGATTTTCATTTAAAAACGTTCCCAAACTTTCACTATACTACTATACAATTATACATGATTCATTCATGGGTGTAATGGGGATATATTCTATGTGGTCAGTAGCAATAGCTGATTGGTTCCTTTTTGTATGGTGATGCCACTAAGGACACTACATGACTTGCCGAGATTCATAGTACAATCCCAAGGAATGACCGGAATCGCAGCTCCGGACATGTGGTACTGCTTGAACAAACCATTTCTCAGAGAGTACGGTTGAAACTGGTCTGCTTAGCGTTCAGTTTTCGAGTCTTGGATTACTCAACTCAGTGCCTTCAAACAGAGCTTTTACATCAGAGTAAACCATCCATTGTGTGAGCCAAAATCATCAATCCAGGCCAAAACCAGTTCAATTGTACTGGGGCTGAAACGCAAAAAAAACATTCCACTGCAGTGAAACAATAATAAAAGCTAAAACCATGAAACATAACAAGAGGGAATTCCAACATATATTCTTCCCATGTATGTATATGTATATATTATGTATATAAATTTAGATTGTTCTGTCTGATTAAAACAACAACAACAACACCAACACCAAACAAACTTCCAGTACCATGTTTCGAACATGTTGCAAGCCAACCCCGACAGCCGCCTGCTTCACATTGAATGGCACCTTCCACAGCTCCTAACGTTCCAGGGTTAACCATGGTCAACCCCAATATTCATCAACGAAGCAGAAGAAAACAAAAGGGGATGTTTTTAGTCCAACAACCATTGTGTTTGCTGATCTTCATACATAGTATTTTCGTCGAACATTTACTTTGAATTTACTTGACATTTACTGTACGAGTCGGATTTCTGGGCAGTTGAGTTTGGGTCATAATTTCCATTCAAAAGTTGCACCACAGATCGACTAGTTTCTAAGGATATCAACCATCCCATTTGACGTCTTGAACCGTAAGCATACATTCTTTAGGTTGAATTGGTTTGCCATCGTCACATTGAAACTAATTAGGTTGACAGTCCTTCATGCGGTGTTGGGGCTTGACTCACTGTCACAGTTTCACTACTCACTTGGTATTCGATTTGACAACTATTCAGCAGTGTATATACAGTTTTTATTCACAAGAATGGATTCATTTCGTTTCAAACATCTACGCGCAAAGCTTGATATTTCCATGTATTCCTCCAGTCAATCTCAAGACTGGTAGATCATCCAAGATCTGTGGTGCCTGTTTGCATGGCCTCAAGTTTTGATGGCCGGATGCCCTTCACAGCCAGCCTTGAACTCGTTTTCCAATTCGCTCATGGGTAGGGCCTGAGAAACACACACAAAATCAACCAGTGGGGAGTAAACCTGAACATCTATCTCCCTAAAGGACAGCAGTGTTTGAATCAATCCTGCCAATTTGGAAGAACAAACATGTCTGAGAAATCGTGAGCAAAATGCATCTCTGGAAGAAAAGCCAGCAGCAATAGCTGGAAATCATCATCGACCCCTTGCAACCCCGTTTTAATTGCAAGGCCCCCTTCCTGTTTAAACACACAAGGACTTACTGCATTGAAAGCTCTGAAATATAGTTTCGCCTGAAAATAGCGTGCCCAAATGTGCCCCAAATCAATCGGTTGATCATCAGTTTCATTGTTTGATGGCCATAAAATGGGGGCCCATCCGACGTGCTGCTCGGAACCGCAGTCAAAGATACCAGGATCCATGCAGCTCTGGAGTTGTTGGTACGGCAATCTGTATTTATTCAAAACTATCAGTAGTGAATCCGCTGGCCTGCCGGTGTGTCTTGTGGATCTTGCTTGTTCGTAGTTGTACTGTCTGTTTTGTCTTTGTCTTGCCTAGACTTTCCCCTTGGCGCGGATTTTTGCCTCGTCTAACTTTAACCCCCCCTTCCCCACCTAGCTCTTCTTCGTTTCGTCTTGATCTTTCCTTACGTTGTGGTGGGCTTAACTCTGCCCACGCCTCGCTCAACACCGGCTTGGCCATCTTGCTGTCATTTTGATGGTTGTTTCCGTTTTTTTTGTTGTGTTTGCCATCAGTTTGCTCCGTCGCTTCTTATATCCAAGACTTGATGGCTTTTGTGCCGAACACCTATTACACGCATAACCTTTCTAAATATAGCCTTTTCCAAAGCCGTTCTCAATATGACCTCTTCCAAAACCCTGGTTTACACACATGCTGAACAAACCATCTTTTACACAAAGAGCTGTTTTACACAAAAACTGTGTTATCCACAAACACCATGTTTTACACAAAAACCATGCCTTTGCTGGGCCTGTGCAAGGGCTGTTTGCAGCCTACAGGATAGCTTTTTCCATGGTGGCCCGCGGAACACGCCGAAGGTGCTTCGGAAAATCATTTATTCCAGAATATCATTATTATCATTATCCCTGAAAAAATGTTATAATTCAGCACAAAAAAACAGGACTCAGGAACCGGAGGGAAGTATCCACTCGTGATGGACCCAAGCAGCTGATCCTAAAACTGATCACCTGGCCTGCTATGGCCAGAGATTCACCATGGAACTTTTCGTCGTTTTTTGGCCCACTTGGGGTCGATCTTTCCAAATGGAGATGAAGAACTAAATAAGCACATTTGGAAAGTATATATACTACAATATACATATATATATATGTATGTATGTATATATATATATATATATGTACACATTGTATACATATGACACCAGCCAGACCAGCCAGCAGTTCAATTTCAGGCTCCAACGCCCTTGTTGGCCCTCTGCCGGTTTTGCAGAATTCTCACGACACCCTGGCGATGGACGAAGTCTACTGGAGGCTGCTCCTTAAACCACCCTTGAAGGGAAGTGGGGAGAGTGGTATTCTTACCCTCTGGTAAACTAACATAACGATCGAAAATCACAATTTTTAATGGGTAAATCAACTATAAATGGCCATGTTCAATAGCTATGTTTGTTTACCAGAGGATAAGGATGACCTGGTATACTGCGTAACTAACTAAGCATTTGTACAGTGTACCCTCTGGAAATTTAATATAGCTATTGAACGTCACCATTTTTAATAGGTAAATCAATGTACATCATCTACAAATGGTTTCAAATATGTTCCATAGTTATGCTAAATTTCCGCAACTTGATACAGTATTCAATCCCAAAGCGCTTGTGGGAAGCTCAACGTTGCCACTAATCTCCCCAGAACGCAGAATGTCTGACTGATTTGACTCCTGCAGCGCACCCCCTGGCGCTAGGTGGTCATTGGTCATCTTGAGCGACCGTATGTGACCGTCATGAATATGATCCACCAACATTTAATTTCGGCAAAAAAAAGTGAAATTACACAACAACTGGTTGGTGGCTTTACCAAATATCTGCAAAATATGTTCCCCATCTCAACCAATAATCCCTTTTTGAATGCTCGAAACACAATAAAGTGTTATTAGTGAACCCCCCACCAGTCCACCTGGATAAATTACAATAATTCCACCAATCTCTGAATCTTACGGCCATTTCAAAATAGAGAATCTCCAATCCGAAACATCTTCCAACCCAGGTCCCAAAAGCCGCTATTTTCACAGGCTGCGGCCCGGAATTTGGTGCCGGGACCTCCATTCAGGCACAACCAAATCAGATGTCTGGGAAGGTTAGCCAGTTGGAACTCAAGAAACTTGCGACTCTCTCACCTTTGTCAATTCATATCTGGTTGGTGGCATACCTACCTCTCTGAAAATATAAGTTCGTCAGTTGGGGTTACTATTCCCAATATATGGAAAAATAAAACATGTTTGAAACCACCAACCAGATATGCGAAGATCAGCATGTTCATTGGCAAATCACATGGATCTTAAAAAAGTCAAAAAAGGCAACCCCTGGCACCACCACCATTGGCCATGCCCG